ATCAGGAGATGTATTACATTGGGCAGGTCTGCTGTCAGAAGACCTCTCCACAGTATCGAGGAACAATGAGGTCTGTTTGAAGACTAAGGTGTACCTGATTCTATCACTTAATTTTCATTTAAAGAATTGGTAAGTGAGTTGTGTTGTTAGAGAAGAGTAACTGTCATGGACTGTCATGTCTTAGAGAAAGTGCAACCAGAGCGCTCCTTAGCAAGAATGGAGAAGCTTCATCTCACACACTTTGGGCATGTTGCTACGAGAGGTTTTTCCTTGAAAAAGGGACAACATACTTAGAAAGGTGGTTGGTAAAAAAAAAAAGGTGGATGGTTAGAGAAAGAGAGGTGAAGACCTTCATCAAGATGGATTGACACAGTGACAGCAGCAGTGGGTTCAAGTATGTCAGAGAGGATGAGAATGGCCCAGTATAGGACAGGGTTCAGAGCTGTTATTCACATCTGTTGTTCATAGGGTCACTAAGCGTCATGCTCAGTGGCATCTAACAACAACAGCATGAAGATCTGCTAGTGATTTATGACTTCGGATTATGAGGCAAAAAATACCATAAACATGAACATTTACTTCCTTCATTTTAATGTTGAAATCAAAGTGTTACACCCACTTTCTGAAATTCGATTACCCCATAGTAAATGATCCATTTCTGCTAATGTTGCATATAAACAGACCAATTTCTGTTAGACTGGCATTCGGTGTCGGACCAGGTGTGGTGATGCTTTGTTTTGCTTCTCCGGCTTTCCTGCTGGTCATGGTTGATCACCCTGACCACATGCCACAAAGATTATTCCAGCCACACAACAGTTGAGCATAGTCTCCCCCTGGTTGACCTTTTCCTCTATACTTTTCCCTGAGAAAGAAACTGCCAGTTAGCAGATTTAACATTGTAAAGACAGCTTAATCTTTGCTTTTCTGAAAGATGTGGGTTAAGTGATTGAACATTAGCTCATTAGGGCCACCTGATAATATGTAGCATACCCTTCCATTTTTGATACTCAACCATAAGGCCATACCCAGAAGTAGTAAGTGTTCTTTCCTCTTCAGCCTCTACAGAGATTTTATTTGCCCATGTTCCTCTCTTGGCTGGAAGTTCTCCATTTTTCTCAGTACCTCCTTTCTGTTTATGGCTTTGATGCAAAGCAAGAGGGTGGAGGGAATGAGAAGAATTGAAGTTTGAACGGCTTTCAGTCCCTTTTTCTCATTCTTCTTTCATACTTTAAAATTCTATTCTGCCTTAAAACCCTTTTTTGTTGTTGTGATGTGACCCTATGTACAACAGCCCTGAACGCTGCTCTATCCTGTGCCAATCTCATTGTCTCTGACACTCTTACCTAAGTCACTAGATCCATATCATCAGGGGTCTTCCTCTCCTGCGCTGTCCCTCTACCCTCCCAGGTATGATGTCCCTCTCCAAGGACTGCCCTCCTTGCATCGTGTCCAAAGTATGTCAGGCAAAGCTTCAGAATCCTTGCCTCCATGAAGCAGCCTCTAGGGAAGGCAATTTTATTTCCTCTGCTACAGACTTTATCATAAAACTAGAACAGCAGAGTAGAGAGTGATTCCAAGCATAAACATTCATGTCAGATGGTGGTTTGAACCCTTGGTCTGAAGATTATAGATGGCCAGGGGGTGGGGCGTGGGGGTGTGTGAAAGAAATGGGAAAGATCCAGTGTGATAAACAGTGTAGAAGAACTTTTTTTTTTCTTTTTTCATTATTTATTTGTTTTCTAGTTGTCGAATTAGATCAGACTGGCACAGGAGGAAGTTGACCCTCCATCTTCAGCGGAGCTTCTGGTGGATTTGAACTGCATGCCTTTGGTGTTGCAGTGCAATTTCTTGCCACTATGCTGCCAGAGCTCCCTGGAACTTTTCAAATAAACCAGTATTTTAAAAAAAGAAAATTAAACAAGGGTTAAAAATAGTACCTACTTTATAGTCTTGCTGTGAGGATTAAATGAAATACTGTAAAACCCTTGGCACAGTGTCAAGCATACAAAGGCATCTAGTTAGCTGTTACTAAGTCATTTCATGTATCTAACCAGGGATGGCTTCCCTTTGAGCCAGTGACCTTAGAGCAAAGAAAGAAAGGAATAGGCGAGCTTTGGTGACCTAGTGGCAAGAAAGTGTACTGCAGTCCCAGAGGTGAACAGTTCAAATCCACCAGATGCTCTGCAGGAGAAGGAAGAACAATCTCCTCCTGTACCAGTCAGATCTGATTTGACGGTACACACAAAAAATAATAAAATTTTAAAAAGAAAGGAATAGATGTTCTTCAATTATATTCTGAAAGACTCTGGAGAAGCTCTCTGTCACTCTGTTAGGAATGTAATTCAGTGTCATATTTTTATCCAGCTGCTAAATACTCTGTCTTTAAATCAGGAGAGAATGATACTCTCTATTGTCCCTTCTGTAAGGGTTCCTAAGTCCTCTTGGATTTGCGTTTAACCAACAGATCAGGGGTCACTTACAGTTGGTCTGTAAAGTTTACTGGAGAAATCCTCTTTCTCCACTAGACGCTAAAGAATTGGTCAATTTTGAAAATGTGTGAAAAGTTTTCATTTGCTTGCCTAACAGATGTTTAATTAGAGACCTACTCTATGTCAAGTGATTCTTCAGGCAGCTGTTTGAGAAAAACTAATATTTACATAAATGAATCTCTTACTATTCTAGCAGGAAATACTAAGCTTACCCTGAAGTACAAGTGATAAACTTTACCTTACACTGAAGTAAAAGTTACTTAATCCAAATATAATTTACTCATATTCCAACTTTATCAAGTTGGATTTGATATTCTGTCTTGCAGGGTCAAGCAGTGTTTCACTCTGTTGCACACTAACTAGGTCTCTCTGAATTGGAGCCACCAGCCGCACCTAACAACAGCGAATTCTTGTGGTTGTGAATTTTTTTTTTTTTTTCATTTCTGTGCCACTGTAACACCATCCCATCATTGATAACATGTATAAAGCCTTGAATTCTTTTCAGTGATAGCACGGGATTTGTATAATCAGCCACATTCTCATTCCTGGTCTCCTTGTGACCAACAGTATGCTTACTTATGTGATAACTGAGGGTCATTAACTGGGGCCACAGAATACAGAAGATGGATTGTGTCCTTTGCAGCAGCTCTCTGGGAGCCTGTATCCCACCTTCTGGGGACCATCCCCTGGCCCAGCTTGATCTGCTGTGCATTTTCTTCTTTCAGAAAAATTCTTTGAGGCTTGTGCAAGTAATCGAGTTAGAGAGGCTTCTTTTCCCTTATACCATGTGCAATGTATGTTTGAGTCCAGGCCTTTCTTTTCTAAGCAGGTATTAGAAAATTAATTTTATATATATATATATTTTGTTAATTTATTTTTAATGCTTTAATTTATAACACATTTATTCCATATTAATAATTTGTGACAGTATACTATAACCCCATAAAACTTTTTGGGAGCTCTGGTGGCCTAGTGCTAAGAAACTGTGCTACAATCCCATAGACACTTGGTTCGAATCTGCTCCATGGGAGAAGGATGAGCAGTCTCCATTACTGCCTCTGAAAACCTGGAAGATCAGCTATAGGTCCATTCTGACTTGATGGCACACAACACAACAACAAACATATAATTTTATGAATTGTAAAGTTCCTGATTCCAGGCACTCTGGTGGCCTAATGGATAAGGAATTTTGCTGTCAACCCAAATGCAGTTCAAATCTAGCAGCTGCTTCCTGGGGGAAAGATGGACAGTCTCTTCCTGTGCAGTTTACAGCCTCTGAAAACACACTGCAAGGTCAGCTGTGAGTTGGTTCCAACTTGACAGCAATGAGGGGTTCTTGTATTCATTTGTTTTAACCAAAGGGCCCTAATCTCCCACTTGTGAAGGCACTACATTTTAAAGATCATGCTTGCTTTTAAAACATAAGCAACAAAAAAAATGTATCTGAAAACATATTACTGAGCTCCAAAAACCAGGAAGTTGGTTCTTAAACTGATGTTTATCAAAGAGAAAAACTGCCTCACTCTACCAAAAGAATGACGGGAGTATGCTTGGTGCTTGAAGCTCTCAAAAACATACTTCTTTCATATGTGTTAAGAACTGCTTTGTTTTTTATAAACTAAAGTGCTCAAAGCTGTTCCTTTGCCTGATAAATAGGTTGATTAGCTCTATTTTGAAAGCATTTTCATTTTTTAAAGCAGACAGTTGCTGTGTTGGCAGAAGCGTGAATTTCATTTCCTGTCTGTGGTGTGCCCCGCTCATCCTGTCACTCAGACATTTTGTTTCAGGTTGTTCCTGTAATGTAAGTGAAACAGAGTGACCCACAGCAGGGTAACATGTGCATGCCACAGATGTAACAAGAGACAAAGCTTGGGCAACAGACCACAAGAGCTAAATGCTTTATTTAAAGATGAAAACAAAACAAAAATCCTGACAGCTCCTGCCAACCACATGCACAATTTTTAGATCTCATCTGTGAACACTTGTGATGTTTTGTTTTAGAAGAAATGTTCTAATGTATTTGGCAAGTTATCACAAAGGTTTGTCAGTGTCAGACCACTTGATTAAAAAATAAAACTGAGTGACTAACAGCATTGTAGAGTTGATAAAACTTTGTTTGCTCGTTGACATCTTGCAACAATTTCATTATCCCTGTTTCATGAAAAAGGAAATTGAGGCCCAGAAATGTTCATTCACATAAGAAGTAAAGCCAGGATTCAAACCCTGGCAGTCTGGGGTTCCAGAGCCTTTGCTCTTTTTTGTTTATTTGTTTCCAGTGCTTTGGCTTGCAATTGCTGCCGTGTAATATATATGGAATAGTGTACGTTTTATTTCAGAAAAATGGTTTTAAGTAGAGAGGACTATGTAAGGAACAGAAACATCCTGATTTTTATTTTTACTTCATCCCATGACATTGGGACTGTGGAATAGGGAAGAGGGAATGAGTCTCGATTCTATTCTTTGATTACGTTCATTGAGTAATTTCTTTTTTCTTTTACATTTCCCTTGCAGCATCAGCGAGAGCTTTCTAACTGTCAAAGGTGCTGCCCTTTTTCTACCACGGGGAAATGGATCATCCACACCAAGAATCAGCCACAGACGCAACAAACATGCAGGTAAAGCTCCACATTCACCACCGTTGCTTACCTGGCCTTTGGCTTTGTTCCAAAAGGTCAGCTGCCTTATCACAGCTTCTCCAGTAGTTCTGTGATACTGAAAGAAAGCGTGCTCTGCATCATTGTCCCTTTTCCCAGGCTCAACAACATATTCCCGGCACTTAGCAGAATGCGTTACACACGTACTAAAACCCTTGGTTGTTGACTCTTGCTCACAATGACAACTGGGTTTTCTTAGTTGTCATCTTTACGGAAGCAGGTTGCCTGGCCTTTCTTCTGCGGTACCATTGAATGGGTTCAAACCATTAACCTTTAGCTTGAGCAGTTTACCACAAACCATTTGCTGCCCAAGGAATATGTAATAAATAATGGATAAAGTTTTGTTGGCATAATTTTGTTGGGAAGGTTCAGAAACACTAATGAAGTCATCTTTTTATTTAGGGTTTTAATACTTGGTCCCTTGGAGTCTGCAAGTTTATTTCAACTAATCAAAGATTAAAGTCCTTGTTTCTGTCTATTCTCTAGTCATGACATTAAAAGAATTATACGGAGTGTTAATGAAAAAAAATAAAAGTAAACTCATTGACATGATAACAAGGGTTGTGTCACATTTGGGGTATCAGTTCATTTTTCTTTTTATTATGATTTGAATACATAAGTTTACCAAAAAATTAATCTTCAGTCACTTTTTTCCTATATAGATTTCTCCTCCCATCTCCTTTGTTCCATAATTCATGCCCTGTTCCAGATAGGAATACTAGTTCTTAAATTCCAGATTCTACTTTCAATAATCTTTAATATGTTCATATTAAAAAGACAAAATTTAACTCAAAGGGTATTTATAGAAGAGGAGTAGGGTTATCAATACTGTTCACCTCTGTAAGTTTAAATGTATACGACTGGCTTGAAAATAACCTATCAACAGTTAACAGTACATAACCACTTGTATTATTTTGAAGGGGAAAATAAAAGCCAGTCTTAGAACAATAATTAGAGCAATCTTAGTCAATGTTATACACAAAAGTATTTGCTTACTGCCCAAAGTGTGCCACCTTGGTGATGTGTGACCTCTAGGAATGAAAGCATTTGCTTTTACCAGGAAAGGAATGAAGAAGACTACAAATGTAGAATGTGCAGGTCGGAAGTGAAAGCCACAAATTATTGGACCCTGTTGAGCCACTAATTGAATTTACCTCCCAGTCAAGACATCTCAGCTCTTTTAGTGGCTGTCCTGCTTCTTATTCTAGTTGTAAATGTAGCAGCTCGAAATTATAATGTACCCCATTAGACTGTATTAACTAACCTCCTCCCAAAACTCTCCAGCCGTGGAAAACTTTTAGGAGAGGAAAAGGGGGGGAAGCTTTTGATTTGTAGCCTTTAGTTACCCTTTCTAAAACTTTTCTCCTCATTGCCAACCAGCAAAAACAAAACAAAACAAAAAACCACGCACTTCCCCAAAAATATGAATGTACAGAGGAAGTAGCCCCTAGTAAAGCTTTGTATTTCTGTTTGGTGTGGGTATTTATCACTTATAGTAAAAGGTGACAAATTATTGGTTTAAATCCAGATTGTAGGGAGCTCTGGTGACCTAGTGGCAAGAAGCTGCATTGCAGTCCCAGAGGTGCACGGTTTGAATCCACCAGATGCTCTGCTGGAGAAGGAGGGACAATCTCCTCCTGTACCAGTCAAACCCAATCTGATGGCGTGCACGCGCGCGTGCACACACACACACACACAATAGTAATAAAATAAAAAAATTTAAAATAGTAAAAAAAAAAATCCTGCTTGTCTGATTATGACGTTGGTCAAATGGTTCTGTAACACTTCAGCTTAAGTGGGGTTAGTGGCTTGTAAAGCTCCTGGCCCTGGTTGGCTGTTTTCTTTGGTCATCCTTCCACACTCATCTGCCACCCCGTTTTCTACTTGACATTGTTCCCTTAGCTTTCCCCATAGTGAAAAGAAAAGCACATTTAGTAAGAGCTGAATGGGTTTGACTTGTGATTCAGACCGAACAGCTGAAGCAGTGTGAGTGTGAATGCAGCATGCAGAAGCCACAGCATTCAAGTCCACTGGAGCTGCTCCACATCAGGACAGACCTATCTATACTTTTTATTTTTTAATTGTACTTTCTTAAGCTCATTTCTGGTTAGCATTTATTTCATATAGGCAATCAAAAAATGGTATCATAAATAAATAGCAGTATTTAAAGGGAAACTTTTAAAAGCTTTAAAATCAAGCTGTAATCTAAAAGTTAGCAACTAGCTTTTTGAGTTAATGTTGAAAGACTAATCACAAACAGTTTCTAAACCAAAAAATGCTTTTTGAGTTTGAATTTAGCTACTAGCAATGATGGCCTTCAAAATGGTTTACACTTCAACATCAAGGAAACAAAAATCCTCACAACTGGACTAATAGGTAGTAACATTGTGATGAATGGAAAGGTTGACATTAACAATGATTTCTTATTACTTGGATTCTCAGTTTACCTCCATGGTATCAGCAGTCAAGTAATCAAAAGGCATGTTGTACTGAGGAAATCTGTTGTCCCATTCCTTTTTGAAAGTGGTCAAGAGCAACAGTGTCTGAAGACTACAGTGCACCTGAGCCAAGCCATGGCCTTTTCATTTGCTTCATATACATCTGAAGAATTGATATTTTTGAATTGTGTTGATGAAGACTACTGAATATCCCACAGGCTACCAAAAGAACAAACAAGTCTGTCTTGGAGGAAGTGTAACCAGGGTGTTCCTCAGAGACAAGGGTGGTGAAACTTTCTCTCACGTACTTTGGGCAAGTTGTCAGGAGGGGCAGTTCCTTGGAGGAAAAAAACATCTTGCTGGGAAAGGGGAAGGTCAGCAAAAGAGAGGAAACACGTCAAGGAGGTGAATTGACACAGTTTACTACACCAGTGAGCTTGAGCATGGTAGAGATTATCAAGATCAGGCAAGGTTTGGATATGTTGTTCACAGGGTCATTATGAGCCATAGTCAACGTGATGGCACCTAACAACAACAACAACAATCATAAATATATGTGAAAATGTAGGAAAGAAAGTCTTAATGTAATTCTGTCTCTGTGAAGAGTAATTACCTCAAAGAAATTGGTTCTTCTCAGTCCTGTTTGCTATTTACACACCAGAGCTTCCACATACTCAGTTCCTAAGAAGCCTGATGAGGAGTGGGGCCTCCTTGAATGTTGTTTGACCTTCAAATTAATCCTGTTGGGTCTTTGGGCCAATAGCATTTAGAGTAGGAACTTTGGTTTAGCATTTACCTAGAAATGGCCCCTCTCTAGAAGTTTGTCATTCTGAAAATCCTTTGTAAACTGTTATCATTGCCTAACACTTTGTCTCTCCACACAAGTTATTTTTTCTCTAAACCACTTACTGAAATATTATTCCTTCCATTTACCTATTTAAAGCCTACAATTCAGCATTTCTTAGAATATAAGAATAAGAAGCACAATACTGCCATCTCTGCGCAGTCTAATTTTAGAACATTTTCATCCGTCCAGAAAGAAACCATTAACAGTCACTCCCTGTTTTCCCCACCTCCCCCAGCCCTGAGTCTACTTTTTTTCTCTAGAGAGTCTATTCTAAGAGCCTGTTCTGCACATTTCATTTTAAGTGGAATCATAAAGAATCTTTTGAGACTGATTTCTTCCTCTTAATCCACTGCCATCAATATGACTCTCACACATCCCTCCATCCAAGGCTGGAAATCGTTACCAGAGGAGAGTATCCATTTTTTCCCAAAATGATCAGTGGATTTGAACTGCTGATCTTTTTGTTAGCAGCCTGATACACTACACATGTTGCCAGCAGGGCTTCTTTTACTAAACATAGTATTTTCCAACATTCATCTGTTCTATCTATGGTGTGTTATCAGTAGTTCATTTCTTTTTGTTGCCAAATAATCTTTCATCATATGGATTGACACGTTTTCTTACCCATTTATCACTTGGCTGTGTTTCTACTTTGGGCTGCTTTGAATGTGACAGCCATTAACACTTGTGTATAAAGTTTCTTTGTGAACTTGTTTTCATTTCTCACAGGTATACACTTAATATCCCACACGGATTCTTACTGTATGAAATTTAGAGTGTGTCTCTGGGATTGAAATGCAGTCAAATGGATTTAATAAACTTCCTTTTTAATTTTGAAAATTTGAAGATTTCTGCCATGATGGAATTTGTCAGAAACCTGAAGTGAAATGGAGAAAAAGAAAACTGTTCTTTAATAAGAGAAGGGAAGGAGCAGATGAATGAAGAGCAGGAACAGTAAAAGACATGCTTGCTGACTTGTAGTCAGACACCTGTTTGCCAGCCTACTCTCCCCCTACCTTCCTATCTCTGCTTCATTCACTCATCAGCCATCCATCTCATGCTTAACACGTTGTTGCAAATGACAATGTGTTTCTGAACACGGTCATCAATTTAAAAGTGTGCGGCAACGTGTTAATAACTGAGATTACCTGGAGAGAAGTGATGTGTGTGGATTCCAAGGCCAGTGAGAAAACAGGTTATCCTGGCATTCCTGATTTTATAGTCATGCCAGTCACTATCCACTCTTAAAATTTTTTTTAAAAGCTAGATATGAGTGGGCAGGATGATGGGGGTTTTAATCCTGATCATCATTATTTATGACACCACATTATCGAGTTATCTGTTACCTCCTTCTGCAAAATAGGGAGTATAAGGACATCTCTATCAGTTTAATATAAAGACATTTATAAATGAGGGGATAGAATGATAGGATTCTGCCCAATGATTGATTTATTTATTGCAAATACCTTTTATAAGAAACAAAAGTACAGGCTATACACATGGATTTCACCTGATGTTATGTGTAGGAATCAGATCGATAACATCTGTGGAAGAAACTGTTGAAGAGGTTCAATATCAGCAGTAAAAATTAGGCTAGCTGCTGATTGCAGTACAGACCATCAGCTACTCATATATAAGTTCAAATCAAAGTTGAAGAAGGCCACATCAAATCCACAGGTATCAAAAATTCATCTTGAATCTATCCCACCTGAATTTAAAAACCAAACCAGGAGCAGGTTTGAGGTATTGAAAACTAATAAACAAAGACTTGAGGAGCTGTGGGAGGATATCAAGAATAGCATCCAGGACAAAAAAGAATAGCATCCAGGAAGAATGCACAAGGTCATTAAAAAGACAGAGGAAGAAGAAAAGACCAAAATGGATGTCTGAAGAGATTCTGAATATTGCAGTAGAGCGCTGAGAAGCAAAGGGAAGAAATCAAGAAGTTAAGGAGCTGAATGGAAGATTTCAAAGGGCAGCTCAGGAAGACAAAGTAAAGTATTATAATGAAATGTGCAAGGAGCTGGAGTCGGGAAAACAAAAGGACCAAACTTACTCAGCATTTCTTAAGGTGATGGAACTAAAGAACAAATTCAAGTCACAAGATGCAATACTTAAAAATGCTATGGGCAGAGTGTGGAAAGATGGCGGCGCCTATGGCGTGAGCCTTCCTAGGGGTGGTAAGGAGTTGGAGACGATTGGAGGGCATCTCGACGAGCACCTTAGGTGTTCGCAGCCTGGCACTTGAAGCTGCAGGACAGTGCCCAGACACGTGGAGGACTGGGCCTCACGGATGTTGCGTGGTCATCCATCGTAGCAGGGAGTGCTGGCTGAAAATTGAATTTTGAGAAATAAATGAGTTTAGTATTCTTGAAAAAAAAATGCTATGGGCAGAATAGTGAATGATTCAGGAAGCATTAAAAGAAGATGGAAGGAGCGTACAGAATCACTGTACCAAAAAGAATAGGCTGACACAGAAGAATTTCAAGAAACAACAAATGATCGAGAGGCAATGGTGACGAAGGAGGAAGTGCAAGCTGCCTTGAAGGACTTGGCAGAAAAGAGACCCCAGGAATTGGTGGAATACCAATTGATATATTTCAACAAACATTGCTCCCCTGAACATGCTCACCAGGTTATGACAAGAAATCGTGAGGACATCTACCTGGCCAACTGGCTGGAAGAAATCTCTATTTAGTCCCATTCCAAATAAAGGTGACCCAACAGAGTGTGGAAATTATCAGACAACATCACTAATATCACAGTACAAATACACAAACAAAATCTTGCTGAAGAGTATCCAAAAACAACTGTAACAGTACATCAACAGAGAACTGCCAGAAGTACAAGCTGGGTTCAGAAGAGGTTGTGTTACTAGAGACATTATATCGCCAATGTCAGATGGATTTTGGCAGAAAGAAGAGTACCAGAGAAATGTCTGTCTGTGTTTCATTGACTGTACAAAGGCCTTTGTGTGGATTACAACAAATTGTGGCTGACCTTAAGAAAAATGGGAATCCCCAGAACACTTGATTGTACTCATACAAAACCCATACTCAGACCAGGAAGCAGTCCTCAGGACAGAGCAAGGAAACACTGCATGGTTTAAAATCAGGAAAAGAGTGTGTCAGTGATATTTCCTATCTCCATACTTTTTCCATCTATATGCAGAACAGATCATTTGGGAGGCTAGGCTTTATGATGAGGAATGTGACATCAGGATTGGAGGAAGACTCAACAAACTGCGTTATGCAGATGACAATCTTGCTTGCTGAAACTGAGGAGGACCTGAAGTACTTGCTGCAGAAGGTCAAGGTCTTCAATATGAATTGAGGCTCAACATCAAGAAGACAAAGATTCTCACCACTGGGCCAATTGGCAGCACCATGATAGATGGAGAAGAGATTGAGGTTGTGAACAATTACAGCTTGCTCAGCTCCACAAGCAATACTCTTTGCACCAGCAGTCAGTAAATCAAATGACTAGTGGCACTGGGAAAATCTGTTGTCAAGGATCTCTCCAGAGTACAGAGAAGCAACACTGTATAGAGACTAAGGTGCTCCTGACCCACGCCATGGTCTTTGCAGTTACTTATCATGCTTCAGAGAGCTGGACAATGAAGAATAAAAGAAGAAGAATTGATGCCTTTGAGTTGTGGTGCTGGAGAAGTCTTGAACATACCATGGACTGCCAAGAAAACACATAGGTCTGTCGTGGAGAGGGTGAAAACAGGTTTCTCCTTGGAGGCTAGGATTTTGAAGCTCCGTCTCACATACTTTGGGCACATGGCCAGGAGAGATGGTACTTGGACAAGGACATCATGCTCGGAAGGGTGGAGGGACAGTGCAGGAGAGGAAGATTCCAGATGAGATGGTTTACTATAGAAACTGGGGCAATGGGTGTTGGTGTGTCAGAATTAGTGAGATTCGCTCAGAACAGGGCAGGCTTCAGGATTGCTATACATATATAGGGTTGCAATGGGTCACAGGCGACTTGATGGCACATAGTTTTCTAGAATTTATAAGAACAAGTGAGGATTCAAATAATGATTCAGCATTATCAACCATGAACTTCAGAAATTGTTTGAAACTGTTGGCAGTATTCTAAGGGAAAATCTTCCAAGTAAAACAAAAGATTATCATAACACATTTTATGAAAGTCACTCACTTGTTGCTGTGGAGTCCTAACTGACTCATATCTGATCCACTCGTGAGTTTTCAGAGACGATAAATCACATGGGAGGAGATTGTCCATCTTTATTCCTTGGATTCAAACGACCTACCTTTGGTTGGCAGCACAACTCATTAGGCCACCAGAGCTCTTTTGCCAACTAGGAATTATGAAACTAGTTTTTTTGAGAGTTAAGAAAGAATTCTTCTACTGGTGTGTACCCCCCATTCTCAGGATGACTTGAATTGCCACTTTAAATGGACTCAGAAGTAAAAGCAGTGCTGCATCTTCCCAACACGTATCCCCAATATTTTACTGTCCATCCCTCATCACAGTTTTTACCTTAGTACAAAAGTGAAATCCATTTCAAGTGTTTTGTCTGTGGGCAGATACACACAAATTTGAATATAGTATAAACGAAAAGTGAATATATTAAGAAGCAGTCCCCTTTCCATTTATAAAGGAGTCAATGCTCACATTAAGACATTCACTTAATTACTGTGTCTAGAGTCCTTCAGTGAACTAGAACTTCCTTTTTTATACAAGTCACTAGGCCAGAAGCAATCAGTTCTGTTGACATTAGAATGGAGAGTAATTATTCTGTGTTTTAAATTTAACCAGGCGATCTCCAACAACATCTTCAAGCAATGTTCATATTACTCCGCCCAGAAGACAACATCAGGCTGGTAAGTTCCTCAGAAGACTATGTAACTAACATTCCCCAGTCATATTTATGTCCCATCCTGGTGCTTGGAGCGTGGGGAATAGGGAAGAACTGGCATGACCCTATCATCTAGGACTTTAGAATTTAATTGAAACTATGAGTTAATATTAAGTAATGTAAAATAATTTGATGATTCAAATTGTTGGTAAATGCCGTACTGTGATTATTGCATGTAATAGCAGTTGAAGTTCTAAAAAGGAGAGAACACTTGGGGACTTGGTGTAAAGAAACGGGCTCCTAATATGCTGTAGTCTTCATGCATTTTCGCCATTAGTCATCATTGCTTCTTTGTTATTGTTAGAGTAGTACCTTGGATGTACGTAAGAAAACCAAAAATAGGAATGAGCACATTTTCTTTGTTGAAAATTTTCTGCCTCCGTCTTACTTCTCTCATTTCGTTTTCGTGTCTGGCCCTTGAGCTTACTACCCACCCTTTCGGTAACATCATAGGGTTTTTAGTTAGGGAGTGACATGGAACCGCCATAGTATGTAAGAAGATTGCTTGGAAGCTAGTACAGCCCAGAGGAAGAGGATGCTAGCTAGGCAGTTCACTCTTGCAGTGATCTAAGTATGTGATGGTGAGACCGCCCTATCACCCAACCCACCAACCAGACTCTTTTTCCCAGAGCAGTTCCGTCCTTAACAGTGACCCTGTGGACAGACTAGAATTACCCATAGGTTTTGCAAGACTGGGCATCTTCACAGAAGTGGACAGACCATCACACTTTCTCCCTCAGTTTGTGGGTTCAACCTGCTGGACTTTTTGGTTAGCAGTTAAGTACTTTAACTGCTACACCACAAGTACCCCATGTGAGAGCCACAGGCCTATGAAATTTAAATGGTTTCTATTTCCTTTCAGCAAAGAAAAATACTGAACGGTTCACAAGATGTGAAATTGTTGAGCAGGCCTGTTTCTTCATTCACAAATTCCTTGTTTAAATTCTGTCATTTTTTCTCTCAAATATTACCTCCATGATAGGAAATTGTGGCTGTACTTTTGACTGAGAAACTCTGAATTTTAAAGGAAGTGAAATAAGAGATCCTTCTGTAATTGTTGCTATTATAGTGCAAAAGTAAGATTATATTTTTTAAACCTCATCTTCTATCTTAAACACTTCTGTATTCTAAAACTATTCTAAAGTTATGAAATAGCAGTGTCAATCTAGAGGGCTTATGGAAACAATGACTTCTAGACCCTGTCCACAGGGTTTGATTTTTTTTTTATAGGTGAGAGGCAGGAATGGAAATGCCAGAATTTACAGATTCCCAGAGATTCTGATATAGCTGGTCCAGGAGTCACTCACTTTTTGAGAAAAATTGCTTTAAAATGAAAAATAACAGTCACTTGCACACACTGGGTGCCCACTGGAGACTTAATGATAGCTTCCAAAAATGGGAAGTTTAATGGAGCCACTGCAGAAGTCTGTCCTCTCTCACTTTATATTTTTCTCATTGATAAACTCCTGGAATTCGAATTGGACCTATAAATGTTAAAATAATTTTAACCTTGAAAGACTTGGAAGAACATTAAAGGAAGCAGTGGAGAAGACAGAGTTGGCAATTAAACTTTTTCTTTCCCTATAAAATATGCCATGTCAGCTGCTTTTACATTTATAAAATATAAATTCAAAATATGTAACAGACGCCTCCAAGTTAATTCAGAGATCAAATGACAAGCCATTTACAGTTGTTTGGGATTGTTAGGAACACATAGTCATTATGTTTCAGATTGAGTGAGTCATCTTCAAGAAAATCAGTGAATACATTGTATGACTTTGGACAAATTAGCACTTTTATAACTGAAAGAAGCATTTGTTAGACTCAAAGCAAAGCCTTTTGTTTTGAGTTAAATTTGGAATGCTAAAACTCTCATCTTGGGGCTTGTGCATAAGGTTAAAAGTTTGACAGTCAACTGAAAAGTCCTGCCTTTTTTTTTCTAATAACCAACAACAGTGAGAGGCAGCAAACCCCACATTTTGCTGTAGTATGGAAAATAGAGTAAAAACATCTTTTCCTCCAAGGACAGACACCTTGCATTACAAATGCTCATAGATTTCAAGTGTTAACTTTACCATCTAAAAAAATTAAGCTGGTAAATCAAGATAATTATTTCTGGTATTCTTACATATTATCAGAGATGTATCTAATAAAAATTGACTGGGAAATTATATAAACTAATGTTTTTAACTCAGGCTAATATGATGCTAAGAAACCAAGAGATCTTTTGAGTTTATTGCAAGAAAACGAAGTGTAGTTTATTTTTTTTAAGGTTAATTTTTCCAAAATTAAAAAATAAGCAATTTTTTCCCTAAATACAATATATTTTCTGGTTGGTTGATTTCTTTTTTTCCTCAGATGATATAGCCGAATATAAAAGAAAGGCCTATAAAAGTTAAAATAAAAATTATTCTGTGTGTTCTATGCATTTAAAAGACTCTACTTAGTAATTTGGATTAAATATCCTTCCAGTCTCATATTGTGTTGCTATGGAAGTGGCAAAATTGAGAGAGAAAAATGTTGTTTTGTAACTTGCTTTCTTCAGTTTATCATGGTACCTTCCTGAATCAGTAGCTAAATCATTATTTTAATGGCTGCATAAAATATAACCTACAGATTTTTCTGTTTAGAAACTTCAGAGACACAGAAATATTTCTAAAAATGGAGATACTGACTGCCTCAAACTCCAGTCAGTTGTTTTGGGTTTTTTTAGGACATTATTCTTTAATTCATTAGTGTCAAATCTGAGGTGTATTTGTTTTAATTTTCACTGTTGGCTCTGCTTTGTTGTTCTTTTGGCTATAATTTAATATCTACGTACTTTTGAAACCTTTCCCTCTGATGGTTTGGATGAGCTGCCTGTCTAGACATTGGACCTTGATAATGTAGTTTCCCTGAGGATAAACATTGCATGCAGAGGCACGATGTAAGAATCTTGGTCAAGAGAAATTAAAGGCAGACCTGCAGCTCACACATTTACAGAGGAGGACATCCTGATGCTGGGTGCCGCTGAGAAGAGAAGCTGTTATAGCTGGTGGAGTTTGTGAACAGCTTATAATCAAGTTAAGCATTTAAACTAACTGCTGAGGAAAATCTTAATAGATGAGCTTTAAAAATAGACAGAGTTCTTATCTGTCAGGAATAAGAGGGAAGTAGGAGATGACTCCCAACTCCACTTCAGTCCTAGGATTCCTGTATCCAGTTTGCCTGACATTCCTAGTAGAATTCTAAATGTAGGCAATAGATAGGTTTTCTTGGAATGATTTTTCTCAGGTATTACTTCTGCCAAGTTTTAAAACCCCAAATAGTCTTTTGTTTATACAGTTAGACTTAATAATGCCATTTACAGTGAGACCTGGATCAAATTCATCTAAATCGTATTATTTTGATCATCTATTTCATACAAGTTCTAGAGACAGACAAAACAGTGGATCAACCACAGACTCTTGTATTAAGGAATTAGGTCTAAAATGCCACTTTAAATGGTGATGTTTCTCCACTGGTTCCATGAATTATTTATTATTAGGTGTTTCAAACAGACAAATATGAACTAAATCTCAAAACAGGATAGGTTTTTTTAAAGATTTCTTTATGCTAATTGTTTTATAGAGTTTTGTTTGATTCTTAAGCTAGACTTCTTGAAATTTAAAACCTTCAAATTTGTCCTCTAGCTTTGAGGATATATTGTTTTTCTTTTAAAGATTATATCTCATCTTTCTGATTAGGATTTAAGTATTGACACTATCCCATGGTCCTCCAGCTCCTTGCTTAATAATGCTGCATTTCCCTATAGTGGCTATGGGTTAGAGCTAGGTTCAAGGGCCACAGTCAGTTCACAAGAACTCTGCATTCTCTTCTTCCACCTAGAGAGCTTACTTACATCTCTCCGTGTACCAGTCACTGTGCAAGAGCTGGAGGTCAAACATGGGAAAAAAAGAGACATGGTTCCTTCCTTCATGGAGTATATGGTCTAGTTCCACTCTCCTGTCCAATAAAAATTCTCTCCTATTATTAAAAAACAAACCAAAAAACACACAAATAGACCCTTTGAAGCCAAGCAGATGTGCCCAGAAGGCAATATTCTCTACATAAAATAACCCCATTTCTTAGGTGAGAAACAGATGTCTAGTACCTTTAACTAGCTTAAGACTTTTTTAAAAATTTGGTTTCTCTTTAGAATTATTTGAGTGCTGGTCTTCATGGAGTTGTTTTCCCCTTAACTATGTCACTTCCACCCACCGTGACTAAGCAAAAGGAGAAAAACTCAGCTGACCCAGTTAAGGCAATGGTGAGCCTCCCATTAGTTTTTTGGCTCTACTCTTGATACTCCTAGGAAAAGCTAGACAAGTACAAACAGCAGCTGAACTGGCTGCATTAAAGCTTGTTTGTAATAAGAGTTGATAGAGAAGGAATGTAATGAATGCCTACCATCCTGGTGCCAAGTACACACGATAGCGAACTGTACTTCTGACTTTATGTTCCATGAAGTAACACATTTGAAACCAAATTCGCCTATGAGAAGCTAGGAAACCAACGTTTAAGTTGAGGCATAACCCCCATGGGCTGGAACCAAGGAAGATGCTATAGTTAGTAGCAAGTAGACATTAAGGTCCAGACAGCACTGACTGATGCCAGAAACCTTCCTAACATACATTACCTCTCACCAAGGCTCTCACAAGGCTTATATACAAATGATACGGGAGAAACTGGACTGTGTGTTTCATAATTTGTCCACAGCTTCAACACCAGCCAGTTACAATTGATTGACTAGTCCAAGCTAATGAAAGGGGGAAGGGGAAAATCCTTGTGTAAATATTACCTGGAATGCGGGTTAGCAGGCCAAGGTAGTAGATGGGCAGCAAGATTGTGTTTGCAACTGATACTCCTGAATTGTGTACAAAAATTGAAAAGTCTATTTCTTTGGTTACTTAAAATCTCATGAACACTTCAAGCGTTTCGTTCTCCCTTGCTTAATCTAATTATGGAGAGAAGGTCCCTAACCTAATGGGAGAGACTTCAGCCATCTCACCTTGATGTTGAATTTTTTATTAAGATCATTTCTGTTTTAAACATACAAAAGAAGAAAATCAAGTAGAAAAAGTGAACTGGGGGGATCAGGGAGGAAAATGTGCAACAATGAATGGGGAAAAAATTAAATGGGAAGATATACTGTAAAAAAATCACAATTAAAGTAAAATTTTCTTTAAAAAGTAGGAAATATATCTTCACATACGCATAATCTAGATTTAATAATTATTCAGCATTGCTGTGATAAATGTATACAACAAATCATTTTATATCTTAATACTCTTCATATGGAAAATGCAGTGACATTAGCTACATTTATCATGTTGTTCTGCTATTACCATTATCTGTTTCCAACTTTTCATGTCATTCTTAAAAGATGCTCAGTGTCCTCTAAAAAATGAATCCCTTTTTTCCTCCTTCCCAGATGTCCCTGGTAACCACTGGTGAACGTGCCTTATATTTCATATTAGTGTAATCAAACAGTATTTCTCCCTTAACCATCAATGATTTTTTGGACTTCTTTCATATATTCTCCCCTCCTTTTTTTTTTTTTAAATTGGAGCATCTTACAGTAAAACTCAAAAACCATATCATTTTACTCTCAAGAAAAAAATAGTACACACACCCATGTTTATTGTGGCTTTGTTCGCAATAGCAAAGAGCTGGAAACAACCCAAGTGCCCATCAACAACGACTGGATAAAGAAGCTGGGGTATTCACACAATGGAATACTATGCAACATTGAAAAACAAGGAACTCATGAAATATTATGTAAAGTGGATGACCCTGGAGAACATTTTGCTGAGTGAAATATCTCAGTCACGAAAGGACAAATATTGCATCCGGCCACTGTTGAAAAATGGGACTGACATCATGGTTGAGGGAAAACAGAAAAGGAGGATAGAAATGATGGATATTGGATTGAAACAGATGAGGGAGAGATCTGTTTAAAAGGGATATATGAAAGGGTATTCCTGTCATTACAGAAGTCCAGAATGAAGGCTGCATAGTGGAATGAACTTGGGGGAGGAATTGCATAACAATGAAAGAGTTTTCCTTTTCAAGGAGAAGAGTGATTTGGGGGAAGGGGGTGGTCAGGGAGAAAAGTGCAACAATGAATGACTGGAAATCCTAAGTCTCTATAAACTTTCAATAAAAATAATAAAAAAAAAGAAAAACAATAAACGCAAGTTATCTATTATCGCAGTTAACAAATAATCACTTCTTAGTATCTGATACCTTGTCCATACTTAAATTTTCTGCAAGCCCTTTTAAATATTATGAATAAAAACTTTGGAGGAAAAAGTAATATGAGAAGCTTCTGGAAAAGCAAGCTTAATTATCATTGAAACTAAAGAAGATGGTCTTGAAATATATAATCTGCAAGGATTCAGTAACACAACACTCTTCAGTGATGCTCATAGATTGCTTAATATTAAAATTCTTTTTAGGAATTGCATCTGTAAATCCTCACATTTCCTGCTTCAGTCTTTATAGTGTAGCACATGTAATAGTTCCAGTAAATTATGTTTATAGAAAATAGTTATTGAGCATTTACTGTGTGCCAAATACTGGGTTTGTTAATATGCATTCTTCTTAACCATTTCCTAATGTGATCAGTATTATTGTCTCCCTGCAAATAATTTAGTAACTTAAACCATATAACTAATATGTGAAATGAGTTTCATTACATCTGCTAACTCCCTCCCTAACAGTTTTTAAAATACTGATCTAAAAAGGATTGAATGATGGAAAATTGGCCTTTTTAAATGTCTTCATTTTTTTCTGAATTTTTCTGTTATCTGTTCATTTTTAGGCTGTAAGATTGGAAAGTACTTACCAGAATCGAACACGCTACATGGTAGTAGTTTCAACAAATGGCAGACAAGACACTGAAGAAAGCATTGTCCTAGGAATGGATTTCTCTTCTAATGACAGGTATCATACCACAAAATGAGAGATGGGAAAGCTATTTTTAAAAATAACCTGTTCAGGTACCTCTTGAGCTACCACAAAAATATCTTGTGTAGGTCTGCTCTTATTAAAGTTTAGGGTGTAAAATTCTTGTTAGTTGCTACCAAGTTGATTTGTATGTTAGACAAACAGTCTTGAGAGACAAGCATGTTTAGCTTAACGTCTTCTGTTGTATGTCCTCACTTTGCTACTATTACTTACTTTCCCCTCATTTTAGGTATTAATGGCATAAATAAAATGCTTACATATGTATTTCTGGATTTCGAAGGGTGAGGAGGAAGCTGCTCATTCCTGGCTGACTTTTTTTCTAACAAAACTTTCATTTACACTGTATCTAGATGCAAATAGATAAATTCTTAGACAATTATCTTCCAAAAAAAGTGCAAGAAATTAATTTGTTTATAAACCAAAACATGTATTAAATCAATGAACTTTGGTTTTTTATTCTTTCTTTTTTTTGTTTTTTTTTGTTTTTGCTTCCGGCTTAAGAAAGGTCTTTGGTCATCCGTTTAACTGGGGGGTGGGGCACAGAACAGGGCAGGGAAGGGGTGCTGAGGAAGGGCAAGGGGAGGACTGCAATGGGGAGACCTGCAGGCTGGGGGCAGGGTGACCGGTTGGTCACAGGAGCCACCATCTTAATCCCACCTGCCCCTCAAGCCTTGTTTCAGCCCGGCCTGTCTGTCTCCCCCATGACGGGGACATGCTGAGATTGGGAGTTGCCTGCCACCTTGCCATCACCTCCGGCCCTGACCCTGGTCTCAGCCTCAGGCTCTCAGCTCCAGAGGCCCAGGGACACACAGGCCTCTTGGGGAGGCAGGCACTGGGCTTCTCCATAAAGGTCCCTTGTGTAGGCGAGGTGGCCAGAGAGCACCCAAAAAACAGGATGGGCCCGTTTCTGGCTAGGTCCTTGCCTCAGGGAAGGCTGGAGTAGGGAACATTGCTTCAATGCAGCACGCGGGCCACATGGGTTGTCCCTGCCCCAGCCATGGCATCTGCCACCCAAGGAAGCCAGGTCCTTCTGGTGATGGTTAGAAACGCCTGTCTCCCACCCTGGCCACAACAGGTAACACGGGGTTGTTATTTCTTCACAGTACAGAAAAGATGGCAGAAGGGACCATGATCAGGGAACCGGGAAGCTTCTGACTAGAAAACACTGCCAGAGCCAGGGGCGGGGTGGGAGCTTTGGGCCTGGGGGTGGCTTGGCCCCGCCTGCGGGTCTCCATGGTGCTAAGGGGCCTTGAAGGGAAGAGCTGGTGGGGGCAGTGGTCCTGCTGCTGCTGGTGGTTGGGGTATTCAGATGTGGGGAGGTTCTCAGGAGGGGTCTGGTCCCTCCTTGTCCTCTACCGGCCCTAGACCAGGGGTTGTGTGTCTCCTGGGGCCAGGGCCACCCCTGCCCAGGAGCATTAGACCTGGAATAGGCAGGTCACGTTGGGAATTGCTGGTCCAGAGGTGCCCCCACACCCCGCTTCTGAGTCCTGGAAGTGCCTCGAGGTTTGGGAGGGGCTGTGGAGTGGGGTTAGGTGGAGCCTGGGCTCTGGGAGGGAGGGCCTCACCCCTGCCCTGTCTGCCCCCAGGCCCTTAGGACAGCTCCTCTCCAGGCAGCTCCTCCTCCAGGTCCCAGTCTTCACGGGGCCCCATGGTACTGGCATTGGGTGGGCCCAGTGGGGGCCCAGGCCACCCATCCTCCTCCATCTCAGCCGGCTCCTCTTTCACCTGTACCTGGTGGCTGTACTGGGGTGGGGAGAGGTGAGGGGGGCTGCTGCTGCCATTGCTGGGCAGCAGCTCCACGGGGGCACCCACATCCTCGTGGCTGAGGGGCAGCAGACTGCTAGTGGAGCCGGGGTTCAGCATGCCGGGACTGTTGAGGAGGGGGAAGCTGCTCTCGGGTTTATTCTTTCTATAGTGGTGTACAGAAAAATAATAAACTATAGCAATCTGGATTGCAAGTGTTCATTTTATGGCACTCCAGCGTGACTATAAAACTTCTTTTTGCCATTTGAGTATCTTCCTCTGTGAAAGTTCTTTCCATATCTTTTACCCATTTTGTAATTGGATTATCAGTCTTCTCCTTGTAGAGGCCCAGGAGTACTCTGTAAATTTTCACTATGAGACTCTTGTCTGAGATGGTATTACCAAATGTTTGTCCCCAGTAGGTAGGTTTTCTTTTCATCCTGTTGGAAAAAGTTTTTTATGCACACATGGATTTATTCTTTAGAAAGTCCCATTCGTCAATTTTATCCTCTTCAGATTGTGCATTTTTGGCTGTATTTGGCTGTCTGTTTATACCTTGGACTAGGGCTTCTAATCTTGATCCCGGTTTGTCTCTTAACAACTTTATGGTTGGCAATAAGAGAGATACAAATCAAAAACCACAATGAAGTACTATCTCACTCCAGTAACAATGGCAACATTTAACAGGGCCGCACAGTAATAATGTTGGAGAGGATGTGGTGAGAAAGGAACTCTTCTACATCTCTGGTGGGATTGTAAAATGGTACAACCATTCTGGAAGGAAGTTTGGCACTTCCTCAAAAGGCTGAACATAGGAATTCCATATGGCCCAGCTATTCCAGTACTTGGATTATGTTGTTGTTGTTAAGTGCCATCGAGTTGCAGGCGACTCATAGCGACCCTATGAAGGAGAGTCCTTGATGCTTGGGTGCCTTTCATCCTCTCTCCAGGTTCATAGGGTTTCCAGAGGCAAGCTATTATGGAAGTGGATGCCACTCCTCCTTCCATGCTTGTTTAATCGGGGAGCTCCACCCCACCCTCAGTCCGCATTGGGTAGTCCATTAACACATTTGACACATCCTTGACATACCCTGAGAAAATGAGAACTGAAGCACAAACGGAGGTTTGTACACAAGTGTTAATAGCAGCATTATTCACCATCTCAAGAATATGGAAACAGCCCAAATGTCCAACCACAAACGAATGGATTGAGAAATTATGGTACATTCACACAATGGAATACTATGCAGCATGCAGGAGTAGCAATTTTGTAAATTATTACCTAACTTGGAACGAACTGGAGAGCATTATGCTGAGTGAATTATTCAGTCCCACAAGGAAAATATTGTAGAAAACCATTACTGTAGAATGAGTATAAGGATCCAAAGGGGGTGGGGGAGGGTGGAAGCAGAGGAATGAGGATGTGCAGGGGGAGAGGGGATTAATCATGAAGTTGTACAATTCGATGGGTGGGGATGAGGGAAATTGGAAGAATCTGTTCTCAAAATCAATGTATTCGAATTTGGAAATAAACTAGTATTTTTAAAAAAGCCCCAAATACCCACCTTCTTTAACCTGACACATACACTTCTTACAGAATTCTTTCAAACTTTCTCCTCTAGGTAGAGATGGCTGTCTGTTTTAATGAGTAATCAATCACTGTGGTTATTTGAGGGCATACTCCATTTGTGATTATGCACCAGTAGGTCTGAATTAAATATTTCTCTTTAACTCCAGTATCGTGTTTTAACCTGCCTTTAGAGTTATATGATCAAGTTAGCAGGTCTTACCACTTTTACTAAGTAAAGAAATTAAAACAGGAAGGCCCCAAACTCAAAGTCATAGTTGTGCATCATTTTACATTTTATGATTAAAGATACTACACATCTGACAGAACTCAGTCTGTCTCTTTGTCCTTGAATTTTGTTAACTTTCCTTTATTTTGCCCCTATTTTTTCTGGAGAAACCTTGGGAAGACTGAGGAATGTGACTGCTAAGCAGATCTCTGCACTCTAGATAATAAGCCTCAGGAAATCCTGCCAGATGTCTCAAAGCATTAACTTCCTGGTGCAGGGCTAGAATGGAACTGTGGAATAGCTTGGGGTGTGACTCAGACCTCAGGGGAATTCAGCCACAAAGAGAGGAGGAGACTGGAAGTTACTCTAATTGTCCTCCTGTTGGGGGGAAAAAATATTACATTATAACTAGAGTTTCCCAGTCTAGTATTTACCTGAGCTTGTACATAGCAGTCAACTTGAAAATTACTTGTGGGTGCACAAGGATCACAAGGCGAGAGTTGTCACTTAACCACCTTTAATTGTATACTCTGAAATTGAATAGGCTGTAAACTTCCTTTAGGAATCTCCTGGATGTTTTAGCCTCTGGTGTTGCTGGAGCAACAGATGATTAAGCAAACATTTTTTTTCTGTTAGAGTACCTCCCTTGCCTACCTTCAAGGAAGGATTGAAGATCTCAGATTAGAGTTTTTAATCTGTCTAGATCTGTGTAATTACATTTCAATAAATTGAGGTAAAATAAAATTCCATTCCTTAGTCACTATGAGCCACATTTAGAGTAGCAATATGTAACTGTTGTTGTTGTGTACTGTCTGGCAGGTTTTCAGAGGCAGAAGAGCGTGCCTTTGTGTTGAATACACAATTCCTCACCACTTAGCCACCAGAGCTCCCCTCAGTAAATGTTTGTTGAATCAGATGAATGTCTATTAAAATAAGTCACTATAATTTAATAGAGAGTATGTCAGAAAACTTACGTAGACTGAATGAAAATACAAGGTCTACTAACTTCAGGCCTCCTCTTCCTTTTATAAGGAATAGCTTCTTAATGTAAAAAAATATGTTCTTAACATATAGTGAAAATATAATACTGTTTCCTACATGTATAAATCATTGTCATCTGCCTGAAGATTAATTGACATCTGGTCACAAGCTCTCAAAAATCACCCTCTGTTTCGCACCTTCTGTGTCGTATTTAATTACTTGGTTTCTGGATTTGTCACTAGGCTATCAGCCCTTTATATTTATACCACAAATTACACTTGTTGCTAGGAAGCCTACTAAACACTCAGTTAAAAAACAAAAACACAAACTACTCTAAAAATAGCCCACTTCACCTTGAGAAGCCATTTTCAGAGCAAGTTTTTCATGCCTTGACCGTAACAAAAATAGTGCTAGGCTGTAGCCTGATGACGGTGTCTAGTGTTCAGGCCCAGGGTTCCAATGTGGCGGAAGTAGTCCAGGCTTGACTTGTATCTCCTGTGCCTGGGACTTACAGGTGGGTGTTAACTAACCTAGGCCAGTGAAAGCAATGCAAAGCCTTACACACAGCCCAAACAGGGACTGGCTGCAGAGCCCTCCATTTACTCTGATCACTAAAGCTTGGTATTTTTCATCTTTTTTTTTAAGTTTTCATTTTCAAATGGAGAAATTAAACCTTAGAGTGGCTAAATAACTTGTCAAGAAGAGTTGAAATACTGATATATTAAATCCAGATCTTTTAGCATAATAACTACTTAATAAATAGTAGTCATTGTTATTGTTACTTACCATGGAGTCTGAACTGACCCATAGCTAACCCTCCAGCAGGTTTTCAGAGGCATTTAATCACATGAGAGAAGATTGCCCATCTTTCTCCCACGGAGCACCTGGTGGATTTGAACTGTGTGTGCCCTTAGGATTGCAGCACAGCTTCCTACCACTAGGCCACCAGAACTCCCTTAATAAATTATAGTTGTTGTTACTTCTTAAGCACTATTCAAGGAGTCCCTGGGTACAGTCTCAGTGATAGAGACCATTGTTAAGGTCAGGTACTAACTGAAAGGTTAGATATTAAATCCACCCAGCAGAGCTCTGGAAAAAGGCCTGGTGACCAGCTCTCAAGAAGGCAGCAGAGCAAACCCAGGGGGCACTGTCTACTGTGGCTCACACAGGGTCATCCTCGGTCACAGTTGACTTTGACAACAACTGTTGCTTTTGTTAAGTTTTACTGGTAAGCACTTTCCCATACATTTTTATGTCATCTCATTTCTTTCCAAAACATCTCAATGAAGAAAGTATTCTCATTCCAGTTTTACAGAAGAGAAAAAGAAGCACAAAGCAATCAAATAGCTTGCCTAAGATGATACAGTTAATACCAGAACCAGAATTCTGGAATTCATCCAACTCCACAACCTGTGCTCTTAACTATCCTTTGTTGTCCCACATCCTGTTTCTAAAGTTTTTCCACCATACCATTGTTTCTCTCTAAATACTGACAGAGGAGATGTGTAGGAGCTTTGGCACACTGACCTGGGGGAGGAAATGGCTTATTGTAGCTTTACAGAGAGAAAGTGGTAGAGGTATGGGGTCAGGTATAGTTGCCTATAGAAGTGATGTGTTAGAGTTCACAGTTCGAAATCTCTGGCTTCCTGTCCCACTACCATGAAGTGAGTTGCCTTCCTGGCCTTGTATATACTTAAACCAAATTTTAAATGCCATACTTGTTTGTTGGTGGTTTGCATTCCTGTTAACTCTGCAGTTCAGCAGAATTGATTCAATGCCCAGCCACCAAGCTTGTTTTATTTGTGTGTTGTGTCTATTCTGTATCTAGTTGATCATATCCTGTAAACAATTACTGTTTTATGGTTTTTTCATTCCTTTCACTCTCAAACCATAGAGTATAAGAGTTTTGTAAATCTTTTTTATGAAACCTTTTTTTACAGAATTGAGCAAATCACTTATTCAGAGGACTTTGTTGTTGCTATTGTTATGTGCCTTTGAGTCAGGGCTTTCAGACACTATAAATTGCACAGGAGAGGGGAGCTCTGGTGGCCTAGTGGCAAGAAGCTGCAACTACAATCCCAGAGGTGCACGGTTCGAATCCACCAGATGCTCTGCCGGGGAAGGAGGGGCAGTCTCCTCCTGTACCAGTCAGATCTGATTTGACGGTACACGCACACAAAAATAATAAAATAAAATAAAAAATAAAAAAATAAATTGCACAGGAAGAAAAAAAAAATTGCACAGGAAGGAATTTCCCATCTCTCTCCCACAGAGCAGCTGGTGGATTCGATCCCCATGCCTTAGGGAAGCAATGCTTGGAGTTCAATTGAATGCTATAAGCCTGCCCTGAGATCTACCAAACACTATTCAGTCTCAAACACCTAGATTTCTTAAGCAGTGACCATTTGTAAGGTTATGGTGGTGGTTGTGTACCATTGAGTCAGAACCGACCCATAGCTGACCCTCTGCTGGGTTTTCAGGGGCAGTTAATAGCATGGGAGGAGATTGCCCAGCCTTCTGCTACAGAGCTGTGACAGATTCAAGCTGTGTTCCTTTGGGATTGCAGTGCATCTTCTTACCACTAGGCCACCAGAGTTCCCTATAACGTAGCCAGGATAAAAACTTACTCAGTAGATTGTCTTTGTTAAAAATACAGAAAACAGATTACCTACCTCTTTAAAGCAACTCCTCTTGGACATATGCATGGGATTAGTAGAAACTAGTAATAATAATATGCTAGAAATCTGCCCCTTCTTACACTCATGCCAGAGCACTTAGAACGTGGGGATGTTGGAAGAGTTAGTAAACAAGGACTGTTTCCCAGAATTACAGGAAGGAACTTAAGGACTCTTTCTTGTCTTGCAGCAGCACTTGCACCATGGGCTTAGTCCTGCCTCTCTGGAGTGACACCTTAATTCATTTGGATGGTGATGGGTAAGATAGTCTCTTGTTTTCCCCTACTTTCTGCCAAGACGTGGGATTCTGTCTTAGTGTCCATTCAGCTGAATGCACCCAAATGAATGGCAGCTCAATGAGTGCTTTTAAACTCCTGTTTTTCAAAGTGGAGTAAAAATAAAATTTGGCAGGTCCTCTAACTTCTGTTCTTCTAGACTGACTATGGTAAGAATCTGGGCACGGAAGAACTAGTTTGCTGGCTCACGCTTTAATCTGAGCATGTGGACCTGTTGCAATGCTCTCCCAGAGCATGATACGTTCTGTTTCAGCACCCTGCTGCCTCTGCCAACTGCTGGTCCACAGTGTAACCTCTTTCCTGTGCCAGTTCTTTCCACTGACCCCTAACCCCACCTGCTGGTGTTACTAGAATGAGTCCCCAAGAGACCAAGATGTGTGCTCCAGTTTATAAAGCTAGGGTCAGGTTTACTAAGAACCCCCAAGACTTCCAGATAGAAATATGCAGGAGAACAGCTTGCACATAGCTACGGCTGGAAAGCTGTGTGTCATTCCCTAACCCTGGTGTAAACATCCATTCATCTCGCATGGTAGATAAAATCAGACAATTTGCTAACACTTTTCAGTCAAGTCTTGTGCTCTAGTTAACTTGTACATGATGATTCTTTTCTGCTAAGCCAGTTGTTGCCAGCCTGGGAAAAGACCTTGAAGAATCTCGCCTGAAATAGCCCACTCTCATTTGTGGATTTTTGCCTTTTTCTTTTCAGTGGGTTCAGCGTATCAACAGATAACAGAGTCCACATATTCAAACCCGTGTCTGTGCAGGCAATGTGGTAAGATGATTTTAGTATCACTATAAAAGTTTTTAAATATGTATTGGAGTAACATTTTGTGGGCAGTAGTATTTGAAATGGTACACTTGACTGAAAATCCTTTATGGTCTATGTCAGGATTTTGTGTGATTTGTTTGTGTTATTATTAATAATAATCTAGAAGGTGCAGTTTTCAAATTGTCACCATGAGAGGCCTTGGGCACTGGTGAGCAAGGGGAAAATAGTCATTGTTAGTAATAACCAACTAACATACCAGCAATTTTAGTTGCTAGCCGTGTGCCTGCCATTGTGTTTTACATGAATTAAATTTAATCATCACACTAACCCCCCTAAAGTAGTATTATTTTTCCCATGTTATTCTATGACAGGTTTGGAAGCAGGAGTAGCATCCACTTCCTAAACAACTTGGCTCCGGCAACTCTATGAACTTTGATAAATATCAGTAGTTGTAGAGGGACTTCAGGCCTTTTGTTCATAGGGTCGCCGTAAGTTGTGCTCAACTAGAAGGCAATCAACAACAGCAATATTATGAAAAAGCGGACTTTGGAGAGATTGTATAAGTAGTCTTATATTTAGACAGAATAGACTCTTATTCTATGATTTCAAGTTATCTGGAAAAATAACTTCATATAACCACACAGTGGTGTGATGGTACGATTCAGAGTCCATCACCTTCCCAGTCAAGAAGTTTCATTTGTTACTCATTCAACTGCGTGTTGTGTGGTGGAAGTCCCCAGGAGGAGTGGAATAGAGGGAAGGCAAGCCAAGCGAGAACTAAAGGAGCCTGAAAAAGACTCCAGCATGACAATCTACCCCTGAATGACAGAACTGATAGGATTGAGGTGGGTGGGGTCCTGAGACAGAGGCCCTGAACAATTAACAGACTTATCATTTCATGCAGTAAATTAAGTAGGATGTAGAGTTTCAGGTCATGTGTTTAGACCAGGTTTCAGATTTAAGGCATGTTTCAGGGGTAAAGTTAGAAGTAGTTGACCTGCTGTTCCCAGGTGCTAAACAAAACCAAAAGGCATTAAACCCCAAAACAATAATGCTTTCAGTTATTGTTTTGAGAGGAATACAAAAGTCTTAATTCTTAAAGCCAGTGAAGACTCAAGCAGTAACCTTTGGTGAAGCTTTGATGTTCTAAAGTACACTGACTGGTGTTCCATCCTATTAGCTAATGTAGAATAAAAAAATTTTTTTTGTCATACCACATGGAGAGAAATAGTGAATTGAAAGACACAGAAAAAAAACAGATGATGTATGGATCAAAGTAGCATTCAAGCCAGGTGCTTCCTTTATAGGAAGAAGGTGGTTACAGAAGCCTGCTATTCTTGTGTACAGCTGAAATATCTGAGGGGACCAGGCCTTAAGTGTATTTTAAGCAATTGCACAAGAGGCTGCGACATTTACTTTTGAGACACTTGTTCCCTGGATAAAGAAAACCTATGTATACTGGACATTTCACAAAGTTAGCCCTTACTATAAAAGAATTTGGCTTACTTTGAGTAATATAAGATTTTTTTTAAATACAGAGTATTTTTAAAAGCATCTGCAACTCAGTTTTTATAGAAAAACAATTTTTCTAATAGAACTGACTGCCTTTTTTCCCGTTATCAAATTGATAACATTTTTGTTTAATTTGCATTATACAGTAACAGGAAGGACCTTCAAGTGTAAAGGTTCTCATAGTTACCCATCTTTGCTTCAGCAACATTTTGCATCTTATGATTAAAGATAGCACATGTCAGCAACCCTGGTGGCCTAGTGGCAAGAAGCTGCACTGCAATCCCAGAGGTGTGTGGTTTGAATCCACCAGATGCTCTGCTGGAGAAGGAGGGACCAGCTCCTCCTGTACCAGTCAGATCTGATTTGACGGTACACACAAAATAAATAATAAAATTAAATTAATTTTTTTAAAAAGATATCACATGTCTTACAGAACTTGGTCTCATGATCCTTAAGTTTTGTTACTGTCCTTTATTTTCCCTCTGGAGAAACCTTGGGAAGACTATGGAATGTTACTGCTAAGCAGATACAGACAGAATCACATACTATTGGTGGGAGAAGAAACTGGAGCATCTTTTCTGGAATGTGATTTGCCTCAATGCCTTATAATTTTGCCTACCCTTTGACCTAGTAATTCAAGTGCTAAGAGTTCATCCCTAAGACCATAATCATGAGTCTGTGCAAAGATTTTAGCTATAAGAATGTTTATCAGTGTTCTAATAATAACACATAAACAAAAAAAGGAAAATAATTTAAATGTTCCAAAAAATAGAAATCCTTTAAAATGCTCATTGAATAATACGCAATCATTTTAAAAAATTACATAGTTGAAGATGTTATCAACATAGAAAAATATTGATGACAGTGTTAAGTAAAAGAGGAAGTCATAAATGGTATACAGAAGATGATCACATCTCTTGTATACCTCTTTCTTTCATAGAGAAAAGATATGAGAGACATACACTAAAATTGTTAACAGTGGTTATTTCTAAGTTAAAGTGAATGTGGTTCACTTTTATGACTCGCTCGCTCACTCATCATTAGTGTCAAGTTAGACCTGACTCATAACTCACCCTCCAGTGGGTTTCTGAGGCTGTAAATTTCAGGGGAGATTGCACATCTTTCTTGCTCCTGTGGACCCCCTGGTAGATTATAACTGCCAGGGAGTTACTGCCTTTGGGTTACACCAAGGGATTTTTATGAAATATATGTAAATGTCTTTTAATATACTATCTTATTAGAAATTATAATTCTCTTATACTATCATTTTCTCCCTTAACAAAAAAAATTTTTTATAATTAGTAAGAATTTGAGTTGCATTTTATTAATAAGGTGTTGTTTAAGAGAGACAGCTGTAAAACCCTACAAAAATACCTACTCTTGGATAACTTACTTCCTACTATTTTTCACTTAAGGTGTTGCCAAGTATACAACCAAAAAGATATTTTTTAGTTGTGTTTAAAAAACTGGAAAAAGTCCAGTGTTTAGCTGCCTTTCTCTATGAGCCAGTTGAGTGGAGACAGAATTGAGTCCTGTGTGCACTTTATTCAGATATTAGTGGTCTGAGAGAGGCAGAGGGTATTGATGCCCTAAGGATCGCTTCTGATATCTAAGGATCAAGCCAGACATTTTTAAGAGGTGAGCTGAAAGGAATGGGAGAGAAGGGTCCAGTAAAGCCAGTGTGGGAGGGAAGTGTCCAGGAGTCTGATAGGGCTTTGTTCAATAATCTTCCTTCCTTGTTGGTGGCCAAATGTCCTGGACTTTGTCTTCAGAAAAAGTATTTATCAGACTTCCTGCAGATGCTGTAGTCTTCTGCAATAAGTCTTTTCATGCTGGAATGACTTGATCATAAGTCCTTAGTTCCTGGAACATACCTTATACTCTAATAGTTGGTCAAGCTAGTAGACCTTACATAAACATCTACTCAATGTTGTCCTAAATGCAGGTATCTGTGCACTCTTTTTCTAAGTTTAGGCGTCTGTTTATTAACTCCTCCCATCCCAATCATTCATTCTTTGGGGGTTCCTAAATTCAGAGTTAGAAGAATTAGTCTCAGAATAACCAGAGCTGTTCTTGAAAAGTAGCCCAAAGGTGTGGGATGAATTATTTTTAAATACCAGGAGTTGCAGGTAACAAGTATGGTAAAATCATTAGCTCACCACTTCCTGGATATTAAATGGCACATCCTCAAGGCTTGACAACAACTCTGAAATCCCTGTGGAGCCTCAAAGAGTTATAGAGAATAAATGCTATAGCATCATTCTGTGCCCAAGGATACCTACATTTGTATAGCAAATTGTTGAGATCCTTAGTTCTCTGCATAGGTACTGTGTAGCCATAGCATAGTTCTAATCAGACCAACTTCTCTTTGATGAGTTTTCATTTCTCCTTATACATCACATCTTTCACAAGAAATATATCTAGTCTAATGCCAGGAGGGTCACCTATGGTGGGGATGTTTCATCAGAGCTTCCAGATTGAGATAGACTAGGAAGCGGGATTGGCCAACCATCCACTTCTGAAATAACAGGCTTCTGAAAACCCCATGGGCCATAGAGGAATACAGGCAGCTGTAGTAGTAGAGGTCAAGCCCAGACTGAAAGTCACTCAGAATGAGAAGAAACAAGCTGCAAGCAACTTTTAAAGGTGGAAAGGTCAGCAGAAGAGAGGAAGACCCTTAACAAGGTGGACTGACACAGTGACTGCAGCAATGGGCTCAGTGTGTCAGAAGTGACAAAGATGGCACAGGACAGGCTAGGAATCAACTCTCTTGTTCATAAAGTTGCTATGAGTCATATTCAGTTCAGTAGCACCTGACAGCAGCATTGCTGTGGATAAATAATATAGTAATCAGAATCAGCAATCAGGTATTTCAAGGAGTGCAGGCCTCCAGATACCAATTCCCACAGGATTTGAAAATGGAAAGAGTTTGGGTTACTATGAATCATTGGCTTTTTGGTATTCCACAGTTCTATAGTTCTCATTTTCTGACTTACCTTTCAGGTCTGCGCTGCAGAGTTTGCACAAGGCTTGTGAAGTTGCCAGGATGCATAACTACTACCCAGGCAGCTTGTTTCTAACCTGGGTGAGTTACTATGAGAGCCATATCAACTCTGACCAATCCTCAGTCAACGAGTGGAACGCTATGCAGGATGTGCAGTCCCACCGGCCGGACTCGCCCGCACTCTTCACAGACATGTGAGTCAGTTCGATGAGGATGACAAAAGTCTTCCCGATGTGCCTGTGGGGGTCACAGACAGCGTGTTTCTCCCTAGGATCTCCTCTTGAGGAATTAATCTTAGCCAGTCATATTAATCATGCTGTGCACCCTTCTCAAAAAAATCTAATGTTTTCTCTCTGAGCCGACCCTTCCTTGGATACAATGAAGTGTCTTTGGTTAAAAACATCAGTACCATAAAACCTCAGTAATTTAGACTCTCCTAATTTAAAATTTGAATACAGTCATACTGTGTGCTTTAAACGTTTATTCATATGGTCACTTATCATGCATGTCCACAATCCCATAGACTGTAACTACCGACTGCCAATGGAAAACAGACATAACAAACATAACCAGTCATATAGCCTCCTACTTGAAAACCTTACCTCTCATGTCTCTTGCACCACCAGGCATGCAACAGTAAAATACTTACATAGTCTATAATGCATATATCTTGATATTCACAATAAACACCTATGTATGTATGGTGCTTTTTATCATTATTTGAATAGGAAACTTGCCTACTTACACATGAAAAGGTTTTTTCTGTATCATTTGTGCTTTGGCTCATAGGCAGCAGCATCTCATCTCGTGTATCCTCTGTCTTCTAATACTATAATGTCATCTGTCAGGTTACTTTTCTTTTGAAAATAGTACCATCAAGTACAGCATGACTCCCAAAGCTCAATAGAAGCAATGCTATTGATAGGGCAGCAAGAGGCAAAGGAGAAGAATCAACTTGGAAGTGAAACAGGCTTATTAACAGGAAGCTATAATATCAGTGGTTGCTTGTCTCTTAAAATTTAGATATATTCACACAATGTGGAAATAACATAATGCCCCATTTCACAGACTGTATTGTGGATGTGATATGAAGCATACTGTATAGAAAGGTTGGGCTAAAGATTACCTTTTTACTATGTGTGAGGGGGAAAGCCTTTAACAAGCAAATTATTGGCACAAAGAAGCTTTCAGAGGAATACTTAAACACATAGGAAAACAAGACATTTGCTGTCAATTTCAAAGACTATTTAACATTGTTATGCTAATTGAATTTCTGTTGGTGTGGGGAACCATGTTTGCTTTTACTGTTTTATAATTCAAGTGTGTGTGTGTGTTAGCCAGCCCAGCCTTTGCATTGTTAGAGAGTCCTTCTTAGTTGGATTTTATTAAATATTTCTTGTGTACTGTTAATTAGATAAAGGCTCAAAATGATGTTTAATTTTTTCCTTTTTAGGTCTATATGTTGATGATTTTGTCTCTGTTTTGGATTTTTTTTTTTTCACACGTAGTTTCTGCTTTAAAAATGAGTCCAGATACTAATTTTGCTCTTCTTTTTTTTTTTTTTTTTTGGGTGTGTGTGTGAGTGTGAGTGTGAGTGTACCGTCAAATCAGATCTGACTGGTACAGGAGGAGATTGTCCCTCCTTTTCCCGGCAGAGCATCTGGTAGATTCGAACCATGTGCCTCTGGGATTGTAGTTGCAACTCCTTGCCACTAGGCCACCAGAGCTCCCCTTAATTTTTCTCTTGATCTTTCTTTAGTCTACAGCTGGGAAAGCAGTAGTTAATGTACTGTCTGACCCCACAAAAAAAAACAAAAGAATTCACCTTCAGGTTCCTAAAGCCATATCAAAACAGTTCCTGGGTTTTATCTTTGTGTTTAAGAAAAATAAATAAGAAACTTAATTTATGTAATCGTGCAGTAATACTTTTAACTAGAAACACTGGACATTCTAATAATTGTGTGAAATAGCAAAAAAAGCAATTTTTAGAGTACTACTGGTATAAGAATTCTCCTTTTCAGGAGGCTAAGTCTACAGTACTAAAAAAGAAATGAAGATTAAGCCAGCTTTCAGAATCTCAGGAGTTGTACTAATTTCAGCCTTTCCATCTGTGTAATGGGTTTGCAGAAAATACATGTCTGATCTGGCTCTAAAAACAGACATTTTGAACCAGACTTATAGTCTCTTCCCTTTTCCCTGATTTTATTGAGAACATTTGGAGAATACAAGAAACCAAGAAGTCAATAAAATTGCCCTTAATCTCTCTGTGTTAAGCAAAATAATATAAATGTAATCCCTGACACATGGAACCAGTGACCAGTTACTGTTGAGCTAACGCCAACTCATGGGGCATGTGGCTGGTTTTCCAGACATTGGTCACCAGGCCCTTCTTCTGAGGTACCTCTGGGTGGATTCTGGCTGCTAACCTCTCAGGTAGTGGCAAAGTCTTTTGACCACTTGTGCCACCCATGGACTCCTAGCACGTGGTAAAATCTAATTATATGTTAGTTATTAATACATTATCATTCTGATTTTAAAAGATATTTAATAAATAATTCACTTCTTAATGTAGAAAAGTCTTAAAGCCATAGACCTAAGTATTAATCATGATAATCTCAGGATAGAGGGATTTTCAGTGCTTTATATTTTCTTTGTGTTTGTATGTATTTTCTAATTTTTCCAAATTATATCAAAGGGAATGAGAGTGTGTGTGTGTGTGCGTACGCGCGCGTACGCACACGCACTCAGAATATTGATGTTTTCCGTTCTCTTTCTTCATAACTAGAAGCTCAAAAAATTAGAAACTCCCTGACTAGAAGCTCCAACTCGTTTCCATCCAGTTGGAACCAGCTCACAGCTGGTCTCTGTCGGGTCTCCCAGGCTGTGACTCAAACAGAAGATTGGCCATCTTTTTACCTCGGAGCTGCTGGTGAATTCAAACCTCCAGGAAGGCTCAGCCTTCGAGTTAGCTGCCCAACTCCCTACTAATTAGGATCCTCAGAGTATATACCAAGGTGCTTGACTTAAGTGCTCAACTGTGAATGAAATGTATCTTTTAAAAATGAAAGAAATTAGAAGAAGGGACCTTTCTGTATGATGCCTCCAGTAAATACCAGATGGTATGCTTGCTAGGCACTTCATACATGGTATTTCACTCAGTCCATCTAAGAACCTCATGAGGCAAATATTATTAGATACTCAGTTCACAGAGAAGGAGACAGACATGCAGGGAAAAGAAACGTATTCAAGGTCACATGATCAAAAAGTAGCAGAGCTGAGATTTAAACCCTCTTCTCTCTTGAGCTCTGCCTCAATTATGAAGGCTTGAGAAAAAGGTTGCTAATCTAGGAAATCTAACTCAAGCACACAAATGCTGAAATTTGCCCTTTTTACATTTTTTTTACTATGATTTGAGTGAAAATTTACAGATCCAATTGGTTTTCATTCAGCAGTTAATACGTTATATCTGATGGCCTTGATTACAATCCCCATGTTGTAACAGTGCTCTGCCCACATCTTCCCTGGGCTTCTCATTTCTGTTTGTCCTTCTTTCCTGTCCCTTTCTGCCTTCTGAGCTTTATCTATGAGCAAATACTGCCCTTTTGATCTTGTATGCTAATATTTTTAATGGCAGACTTAAATATGTACCTTTCTACCATTAGCTACAAATGCACGGAAGGAGGGGAAAGTGAAGGGGGATAGTTAAGAATTTTAATCCTAGTCAAGACTGGAAAGGATGCTTCCTTCAGCTGTTTGATAGGGAGATGGCACTATTATCATGTTTTACACGGTCCATGGGGAAAACTGTGTTTTACATGGTTCATGGGAAACTAATAGCCCAAGTGGTAGGAGCCCCAAGGTTGTGGGGTGACCGCATCCATCTTTGGAGATTACCAAAGCTATTTTTGCCGCCAGTGATAAGGTTGTAGGCAGCAGAGGCAGGCTGGATGCCTGAAGGCTTAGTGCACTTCCATCTCCGAATAAGGAAGCCCAGAGCAGATTCCTTCCTTGAGTAGGTGGGAGAGAAAACTGAGACAGAAAGTGCCCTCTTGTCAGCATCACTCAGATTCTGTATAATATGAAATAATGCTTTCAGAGAGCAATATCCAGTTACATTGAACCAGTATCCTTCTAGTAATTGGAGAGTCAGCTTGATTAGTTTGATTTTGTACTGAAGTTCCACATGTAATTTTCTTCTTACAAGTCAGAAGACTTTGAGAAGCAATATAATCCTGCAGGTAGAGTGTTAAACTGGCCTAAGAGTTCTGGTTTCCCTGCCAGTGTGGGTGATCTTCATCATGTCAGTAAACCTTTTAGCTGTTTATTTCCGTAATCTGTTAAAATGTGCTTTTGTTACTAGGAAAGCTTTCTTGGGTGAAATAAAGTACTCCAGGTATATGATCCCTACAACTCAATTTGTAGAGAATTTGTCTAATGAAGAAGGCAGGTGTTTCTTCGTCTTTTCTATTTGCTAAGCCCACAACAATGAATGATCTGCACTGGAGTGGTATTTGAAGCTCAAAAGAACCAGTTCCATAGCATGTCACACCACCAGTCTGCTCAGCTTGGCAATCTAGCTCAATAAGTAGTAGTCGAGGGGAATAAATGGGAACGTGTGAATGTAGTGTTCCCCTACCGTATTAACACTTAGTTTTGCAAATGTGTCTTTATTCTTTAATGGGCCCATATACATGAATATATGTAAGAGCTTTTAGATATGTTTGGTTTTGTTGATTTGTTTTGTTGATATGGTTGTTGTTGTTGATTGCCATTGAGTCAAACATGACTCACAGCGACTCCATGAACAAAAGGCCTAATGTCTTTCTCTAACTATTGTCGTTTCTCCAAGTTCATAGAGTTTCCATAGGCATGTGGTTTTGGAGGTGGATGCCACTCCTGCTTCCAAACCTGTTTTACAACTGGGAGCTCAACCAAACACTGTTCACCTTGGGAAACCATTATGGCATTTGACACCCAATGACTCAAGGTTCAGCATCACAGCAAACCCAGATTACTTCAGTACAGCAAAGTGACAAAGAGTGATGTACAAAGTAGAAGAATGTTCCTCCAAAATATAACACTAGTCTCACTTAGCTGTGGTTAAGTGTCGTCAGGTTGAATACTACTCATAGCAACCATATGAACAAAAAAACCTGAACTCTTCTATAATTAGTATCATTTCTATATGTTGATAGAGTTAATGGAGTTTCTAGAGGCATCTGGTTTAGGAAGCAGATGTGAATCCTGCTTCTGAACCTGAATCAATCTGGAAGCTCCTCCAAACACTGTCCATGATGGGTAACCATTATGGTATTTGACTCAGCTATGGCACAGTGTTCAGCATCACAGCAAATCCAAGTTATTCAATACAGCAAATAGACAGACGACTGCTGTACCATTTAAAGAATGTTATCCTAACATCGGGCCCTGTTGTTGTTGTTGTTGTTATGTGCCGTCGAGTCGCTTGCGACTCATAGCGACCCTATGTACAACAGCCCTAAACTCTGCTCTGT